GCTCTCTACCTTGCTTTAGATTTAGAATTTGGGACATTATTCAGAACACCACAAGCTGCTTTGGGGTTTCTGGACAATCAAACAATCAATCCAACAGCTAGGATCCCACGCACCAAAGCGGGGGTGTATGTCTTGAGTTCCCTCCCTTGACTTAGAAAGGTTCAATAAGAAGTACTCAGAATCAGTTAAAAGCAAATTTTAACTGTGATGTGCCATACAAATCATGAGCATTACAGATAACAACTCTAAGTAGTGCTAGGCAAAACAGGAATAAGAAAGTGCTGCTTATCCTCCTTAGTTTGTGACTCTGTCCTAGAAAATGTCTGGAACAAAAACTGTATGTCTGTTTCAACATGCTTTGGGATTGAAATAACTTTCATTAATACATCTGTTCAGTTAAACAAAAGTTTTAGGAAGAAGGGGACTGAGCGTCAGTGAAACTATTGCTGTGATAAACCTCAAACTGGGAAAGGGGCTGTTTTTCACTTTTTCCACCTGCTGTGGTGTGGTAAAACTACAGTCTGGTTTTGAAAAGCAGTTTTAGAACATTCAAATGTTAAGAAACAGACTTTAGAAGACTGTTATAACACAGAGCTAAGTTGTTTTTTTCCCTCAAAAGAAAATCCGTGTACAACAAGGAATTAAATTAAACTGCACAACTGACTAGCACACATGCATTTCATCATTTTGCTTACATACAGTAGTTCTGAGTCAGGAATGCTCACCGAAATGTGCTACTCCTGCAAGCACTACCTACTTTGCTCTGCTATTAAGCACTCATGATGCAAGCACTCCCACCCATTTCTGAGAACAGCGTAGGCAGTCTGATAGCTCACAGGCTTCAAGCTGCCCTTATAAAGTTGTTCCACTTTCACATACTTCCTCATACTGCTAGTTTCTCTGTGAAGATGAAGCTCCTCATTTACTTAGTCTTGCTGAAGACAGCTCTCCTTGCTTTAACAAATGTCTTTGCAGTTGTTTTAGAAGATGAAGAGGATGCTAAAGGAGGAAAAGTTACTGAGACTTGTCCTATAAAACTCAAAACTAATCGGAAATGTGATGAAGGAGAGGATTGTCCATATCAGATAAATCTGCCTCCGATGACCATCCAGTTACCCAAAGAATTCAGACTGCTTGAGAGAACTCTCAAAGAAGTACAGACCCTTAAAGAAGCAGTAAACAAGCTGAAGAAATGCTGCCAAGATTGCAAGCTGCAGGCAGATGACAACCAAGACAGAGACAGTAGTAATGAATTCCTGCTACCTAATGCAGAAACTCCAGCAGAAAACAGCAAAATCCAAGATAACAGAGTAAAGGAACTGCAAAGCAAAGTTAACAGAATGGCAACCAGCTTAAAAAATGCAAAGAGCCAGATTCAGACACTGCAGGGTCGTTTAGAGAAGATGAGCCTTATAAATATGAACAATGTAGAACATTATGTTGACAGCAAAGTTGCTAATTTAACGTTTGTAGTGAACAGCCTTGATGACAAATGCTCTTCTAAATGTCCAGCGATGCAGCCAAAACCTGGTATGTAACCTGTTAATTCTTACTGCCTGTATAAGCTTTCTGTGAATTTTACAAAATACAATTTTAAATCTATTTTAACTGAATAGCTGTGTTATTAACCTCACAAGTTACGTGTTTGCTCTTTTAATGTTTATTTATACTCTTCTAAGATATTTCAGCTGCCACTAGAGGGTTACTGAGAGCTGCAGGTGTTCAGTTCCTCCTAGAACCGGACTTTATTATTGTATTCAAAACATGCATTTTCAAGGGCCTTTTTTTTTTTTTTTTACAATTCAGTTAGTAAATGTGAAAATTTAACTTTATTTTATACTGTCCTACCCTTCATTAAGGATATTAAACATCAGTGAATGACACATTTTCTCCTTGGATAAGAAGGGGTAAATTTTCTCTAGGTGTGCCTTAGAAAACTGCCTGTTTTTTTTTCAAATGTGAAACTGCAACTATTCTGAAAAGGTCTGCAAGACATTATTAAACATCAAGTGAATCTAGCAAAATGTTTATTTTTTAACAGATGGATAATAAACTAGTTTTTCTATCATTAAAGCAAATATCTGAAAGGCTCAGCTAAAAAAGCGTATTAACAGTACTTCTCAAGTGGGTAACACATGTACCATCATTTTAACAGTACATTTTAAAACCCTCAGCACGAATTTAATATATAAGCAATATAAAATAGAAAACAGGTGTTATCACTGACACTTTATTCTTTTACTTTTTAATTGACCTAATTAAAATCAAGAACTAGAACTAATAGTTTATTTCTAATGTTTACTCTTACTAAGGGAAAATTGAGGGGTTTTTTTAAAGTCATAAAGTTTTTCCACCACATATAAGAATCTTTGAAAACAAGAAATATTGACTGGATTGTCAGTGTACTCTACCACTTAGATACCATACATATGAACATAGGGCTCTCTAGAGATAAAGCAGACAAAGATCAGGATGCGTTACAGTTTTAAGCCTCTGTTGCTTAGCATTCAAGTTTAAAATAAAACTGTTCTTCTGTCTACCCATATTGAAAGCTGAAGGATGTGTAGATGGTACGGTGTATGTACAACTGAAATTCTTGAAAGTGTGAAAGAGCAAATGAATAATAATAAAGGTAGTGCTTTTACTATATCAGTATAAATCACTTTAAATCAGATGTAAAACATTCACAAAAAGAAAGAGTTATGTTTGGTATATTGATAATGGGCAATGAATCAAATTCAAGTATAGTACTTCATAACAGACTAAATTAATTTTAGATACTTCTCACACTTACTGTTGGGTACTGTTCATAGCATATGAACATGTAGTTATTCCTTATATTTTATAGTAACTGATGCTAAAAGTGTTTCTAGAAGCAATATACACATTATGAAAACTAGCAAGGATAACAGCTACAATTTTTTCCTATGCAGAAGCTATTCCTGCATCCACTGACAGTAATAGCAAAACTTTATTGAAGTAAGAGTTGAACTGGATTATAAAAGCATTTTATCTGAAACGTATATTCTCTGTCAACATCTGCTCTGCAAATTAGTCCACCAAAGATCTTACACAAAGTTCAGTGAAATAAATGAGAATTCATTGTGGATTTAGATTCGGCTTTTAAGCCTTTGATTCCTGTAGTTTGTGCTTTCATAGGTGCCCAGTTTTCTGTACTGGCAAACAAGGAGTCCTGAGTCACTCCCCGCTGCAGCCTGAGAACACTCCTCCCTTTAAATAAGTAGTTTAATTGTTTACATTTTCTAGGAAAAATACGCAATTCAAGCCTGCAAATCAACACGCCCATAGATTCAAATCTGCAATAGGGATGAACATTATAGTTTTGACTCTTAACTCAGGACTTCTGAGAGCTCTCTGTACCACTTAAGAACATGGAATTATAATGCCATGCTGTTGAACACAATGTCATTGCTGGATGACACTGTGGATCAAAAATGGTTTTTCACTTGCAGGAAAAACCTGGGGGTATTTTTCTTCTGAATAAGATGTATCACCCATCAGTAGGAAAAAGCTGTGTAAATGGCAGATGCTAAAACTTTTCCTGACTTTAAAGCCAGCAATACCACATACACAGAAAGCACTCTCACTTGTCTAGCTTCATCTTTCTAGGAATCACAGTATTACTACAATAGATGAGACAATTTTATTACTTTTTTCCTGCTTCCTAAAGTACAGTCAACATTAACACATGAAACATTCCTAATGATGTTATGTTCTGTATCAAATGATGTCAGCTGAACAATGGCCAGATTAAAGTCATTACCATATGGACAAAGCTTTTTCTCTGACACACTGCCAGATGAAGATTTAAATTTTAGACAGGGTGTGATGGTGTACATTTAAATACAAAAAAACAGCAAGTGTGTAACCATGAAGCATTAGAAATACACACTGAAGAAATCAGGCTGAATTTATAGGAGGTAATGAAAGGACAAAGAGAAGAGAAAAGCAGAAGAGGGAAAGCAGATAATCAAAATGAACCCAGATTTAGGCAGTTTTGATACAAAAAGTCATTTATATGGGTTCTTTTTGACAGCTATCTGATGCAGCGATTCTAGGTGACATCTATTATAGAGTAAACCTGATGGAAAAAAATCTCTTTCTCCCTAGAGCTGAAATTGCTGTAACACTATTTCCTATGTAGAAGGCTCTCCAATCCAAGCTCTGTACGCCACATCACTCTGGGTAAAAATTTTGTTTATTTTTAAATTGAAATTATGTTTATTCTAACACTATCTGTTCTTCCACCAGTTATACAAATAATGCAGAGAGACTGTGCTGATCATTACACAGCAGGCAGAAGGAGTAACGGAATCTACAGGATTAGCCCTGACCCCAGAAATGCTAGCTTTGAAGTTTACTGTGACATGCAAACACACGGAGGCGGCTGGACAGTGCTGCAACGGCGTCAGGATGGTAGCACTAACTTTAACAGAACCTGGAACGACTACAAAAATGGCTTTGGAAACCTCAGCAGGGAGTTTTGGCTGGGGAACGACAAAATTCACCTCCTGACAAAGAGCCAGGAAATGCAACTGAGAATTGAACTTGAAGATTTCAATGGTATCAGAGAGTATGCGAAATATGAGCACTTCTATGTGGCCAACGAATACCTAAAGTACCGTCTAAGCGTTCACGGCTATAGCGGCACAGCAGGAGATGCCCTTCGCTACAGCAGGCATTACAACCACGATCAGAAGTTCTTTACAACTCCGGACAAGGACAATGATAGGTATCCTTCAGGAAACTGTGGCGCATACTACAGCTCTGGCTGGTGGTTTGACGCATGCTTGTCTGCCAACCTCAATGGCAAGTACTACCACAAGAAATACAAAGGTGTTCGCAATGGCATCTTCTGGGGTACATGGCATGGCATTTCTGATGATATTCCCAGTGGATACAGGCAAGCCTTTAAATCAGTAAAAATCATGATCAGACCCAAAAGTTTTGCGCGGTAATTCTACGCCTTCCTCTTAACTAGCTTGCATTGGATTGCACTCAAAATACTTACTCAGTATTATACTTAGAATTCAAGTATTCAGTTATGTTTGGCATAAAATAGTTCTAGACAAAACAACATACTTCCACATAAATTTTTACAGCTGGTTTGACCCATATAATGTATTACAAACGGCATGAATGTTTCTGAATAGTTATCGCTAAAACTTAGCACAGGTTGAGTCTTGGTATCATTATGTAAATATTCTAAACATTGGTTTTGGTGCTTTTATTGACTGTGATATACCAGATTTTATGATTTAAAACTTTTAAATGATCTTCCACAAATTGTGTCTGAATGAACACCTACATTTTAACCTGAAAATAACTCAGAGGTATAACTGGTAACATAAATTTGTCAACACTTAGAATGAAAATTAGTCTTTCTGAAACAGCCCAACTTTTTGTATCATTTATCCCTCACAACTTCAAATGTATACCATGGCAATACCATTGTTTTTAAAGGCAAATTATTATTATTTTTAAAGGACTGGGAAACAGAGGGCCACGTGGTTTGCCCAAAGACACAAAAAAAAGCCTTGAAGAAAATTAAGAAAACTTAGAAAATTAAGATAATTCCTCAAACCTTATCTACTTCATCGAAGAATATTCAAAGAAGTTGGTGAAGGAACTGAATAAAAGCAAGTGGAAATAATGTAGGGAGTATGTGATGAAAGACAACATTTCTTGCACATTTTGGTTCCTTCGTTCAAGACCAAGGTCCTATTTGTTGTTTGTGGGAGAAAGGAGATGATATGTAGCTTATTGCACATTTATATAGGCAGGTAGACAGGTAGGACAAAGACACACTAAGAAGAATCCATGTCTTTGCATTAATGCCTCTAAATACATACAATTTCCAGTGCCATTTTGCTTTCTCCTGAATTTTTTAGGTAAGCCAAAATGTTACAAGACGAATCTTGCGAAGACTCAAGTTCTCATTTAAGCACTTCTCACTCTAGGTACCATTAGACCTTAAAATTACGAGAAAGATTATAAATATTTTGAGAGATATGAAAAGATTGTGTTCTCCCCATTTTCTGAGTACCCCTTTTGTAGCCACAAAAACATGAACAACCCATTGGCAATCAGAAAAAAAGAACATGTGAAAGACTTTTTTTCTTCTAAAATTTAACAAATTAAACAATCGAATTCTCAAATACTTCAGGAAGTGCAAAGTAGAGATACTACTGTTAAAGCTCATGTTGTAGATAGCAAGCACAAATTTGACTAGACATTCTATTGCCCACCCTAGAAAGGACATGTCTCTGTAATTACAGTGACTACTAACATTCTAAGTGGAGATGCAATTTATCTTAGCAAGAGGCTATTTTGCTATATTGCTTATGCCAATCTTGACATGCAGGTAAACTTTGCTGGCATAGCGTTTTTGGTTAAAAAAAGACATACCAAAAAAATTAGAAGTAATCACCTGACCTAATACTTTACAAATATGACTTTTACTGTTTTCTAAAAGGATAACGAAAACTAGTGTCATTACAACTTATATAAATGTTAATGCAAAACAAGTTACGCAAATTAATGCAAAAAAAACCCAGTTATGCAAGTTACTACAAAAAAACAGTGGCAAATGCTAAATTGTAAAATATTAATATATATTTTAAGGAAGTAAATACTTTGAAGGATATTTCAGTGTGAAGTGTAATTTGGTTTATTTTATTTCAGTTTTAGAGAGTAATAGAAATTTTAATTGCAAGATGTATAATCTTTGCTTGAGAATGTTTTGGAGCTATAGAATATTTATTTTGGGATAAAAAAGTATTGTCTAAACAAACAAAAAAAAAGGCAACTTATGAAGTATTGGTTAGAAGAGCAAATATCTAATCGCATATGATTATATTTGATCATTTTGCATGAAATGCACAATTTGCTCCTATTCATTATATGGTAACTAGCTAAGTACGACTTAGTATCTACAAGCTTCTACTTGAAAATGTCTTTTTCCTGTTAAGCTGTTAGAAGAGAAACTGTCCTTTTTTATCCTGTTTAAAGGAAACTTCATAAAACAGAAATTTTAAGAGAATAAGCAAATGTGACTAATACAATCTACAAAAGCTGATGTCTTAAAAAAAAAAGAAAAAAAAAGAGAAAAGGAAGCTTAATATTGTTACACAAATCTGAATATTACCTGCCTGGAACTGTTGTAGCTGAATCTCCATCAATATGTACTAGTTTTACAAAGTGTGACTCCATCTACTGTTGCGAGCGTTATTTCTGTTTTTCCTTGGTGTAATAAAATTAATAGATGTTTATGTGGACTATCAAAAACATTCTCATTGTTTTATTAATTTTCTGTAAAAATTGAAGCAATAAGAAAACACAGACAACTTTAGATGACCAGCAAAGAAGATTACGTGATGTGACAGAAGAGTAACTGCTAGTAATGATAGTTCTTAAGAGATCTGTTTTATGACACTTCAGCTGACGGATAATACCAAAGGCTGACATCTCAGACATCTTTTTGAAGCTATTTGTATTTTGGAAGAGAAAAAAGTAGTTGCCCCATCAAGAGTTTACACAACCTGTATCTTCAACATGAAAGAGGAGAAGCAAACTCATCTGTTTTTTGTATTACACACAACCTTTCAGATCACATGCCAGTTTCATCAAAGCATGTGAACAGAAATGACACCTCAAATTAAAGCATGTAATTTTCTATGTAAACAAAAGCATTTGGTCTTTGCTTAAGGCTTAATAATTCAAAACATGTCTTTCGATTTACAGAAAACATCTATGTAACACTGATTATCATACAAAAACACTTATGGTTTTGATCTTGCTAATATTTAAATTGGGAATTTTAGTGAAGAAGGTTACTAAAAGCAGGTTTGCTAGCAAAATTCCTATGAGCTGTTTCCAAAAAATAAAGGCACAAACTCATCTGTTCAATGTGATCAGCCAAGCAAACTGTGATGTCTTGGCTTTCTATGCATTGCTTAAACAACAACAAAAAAAAATCAGAAAAAACAGAGGAGAAATTAAAAGGTCTGAAAGCAGTCATTTAAAAATTTGTTTTCTCCCTTATTTATGCAAATATCTGTTTTCTTAATGGTGTTTTTTTGCGAAACACTGCAGTCAAACTCAGAGAGTGAGTTGCAAAAGACAGGTAGTTTGACAATTTAGTGGAAAATAAACTGGCATTTATGTGATTATTTTCAAAGGAAATTAAGCTGGTTCTCAACCCATACCTAGAACACTGTATTTATAACTTAAACCGAAACCAAACACAAAAAAAAGGTGCCAAATTTACTTAGTTTCTATCAAAACAGGAGAGATGCCACTTTAAGTTTCATAGAGAAAAAAGATGAGAACTGAATGCTGGCCTACCAAGAAAGATATTTGAAATATATTTTTATAAATGTATTCTGTGTTCTTTTGTGCAGGAGATAAGAGAAAAATAATATGGTATATATGGGCCTGAAGACATTGACTTAAGTTTCAAATGGCTGAGCAATACCATCCACAGGCCCTGCTAAATGCAAACATTCCTTTAATTCACAGCTTTAATGAAACTCTTATGGAGTTATAATACTTCTGCCAGAAGTGAATTTGGCTATCACCTTCAATGGTAACTGGAAAGAGAAAACAATGTTTTAAGATGATGCATCAAACCCAATCCTCACACAAGTCATGAGAACAGGATATGAATCAATATTAACTTTTAAGTCTTTGTTCACCAAATTTTTCTGATGTCACTAAAAGAAGAATCTGTTTGGAAAATAATCAATAAGCAAAAAAAATATCCCAAGTTACCTAATTAGGTTCATATAATCAAGACAAACTGTAAGCCTAATTAGTATTACACTTCTACTGAAACAGTACACCAACATTCAGAATTACACAGTAGAACTCGTGTATGTTTTGCACACTTATTTTTAAGCAATTACATGGAGTCAGTGATTTTTATGAAGCAGTAAGGTCCACTTTGAGAAACAGAAATTATCACTTTGGGCAGAGTACAAAAGCCCCTCTGCTTACTTCTGCAGCTCAAATTCTCTATGCTAAACTGTCCTAGTCTGGCTGGGATAGAATCACAGGCCAGCCATGCCAGGCAGGCTCCGGTCAGCCAGGGCAGCTGACCCGAGTTAGCTACAGGGGTAGCTCATCCCATAAAGTCATGGCCATTGTAAAGGGGGAAGATTTGCTGAGGAGAACTCCTGTGGGGTTTCTCCTGCTCCTCTGGCCTCTCCTGAGGGCTGCTCTCCAGTAGATCATGACAACTGCATATTCATTTGGCTAAGTATATTTCTGTTGGTATTGGGGGTGTTTTCATTAAATCTGTTGTACTTCCACCCATGGGTCTGCTCTCCTTTTTCCCTGATTCCCTTCCCTGGCCAGTGAGAGTTTGTCAGGTGAAAGAGCAACTGTTACAGTTTAGTTCCAGGTACACACTAAATGTAGACATAAACCCAAAGATAAGGATTCTTTCTCGTGCAAATTTTTAAGGCTATGTTCGTTAAGGAGTATTTGGACACAGGTTTTTTGAACAAGTAAACCAGAAATCACCTTTTTAACATTTAAAGTAACCTAATCCATATAATGGATGATTCTCCACCACTGGACATTTTTATTGAATGTATGTTTGGTTAACATTGCTCTGGCTTCCTCACCACGCAGTTGTGCTGACATAAACATCATAAGCCAAGGCCAGGTGGACTCACAATTTTAGTATAAATTCTCCCTGTTTTGGAATATCTGATCTCAAATACATCTTTTAGGTGAGAAAAGGGAAAGTTTTTTTTTAAAGAGGGACATAGCTTTAGAACACAATACAGCAATATGCTCATCTTTTTAAGTCTCAGAAATTCTTGAGAAAAGGCCAAAATGCAAGAAGATGCTGCAGTTAAAGGTTATTCCTTCTCCAAGCCTTGCAGCTTTTGGGAGCTGTGGTTCCTCTGTGTGGCACAAAATCTGCACTTGACTTTATAGCAGCAT